GTCATTTCCTCAACTTGTCCAATAACTCGTGTGAAAGTCAGGTCGTTTGGTAACCCTCGCTTGTGTAAGATTACTCAACCATTCAAGGGTCATAATCATGTAAACTACATTGGTATAGTGGAGCTATTTCTCCTTGATTTTTATGCTTTCGGATCTTCAACGTAAAAACTCTTGTTTTGTTTATCAGTTTCTTTTTTATTTGTGTGTGTGTTGGATCTTCGTACAATAATAAGACATTAATATATCACTATACCGCCACAAATTTACCAACACACAACAAGCTTCATTGTTTCCCAACGAATATATCCTTTTAAGGAAAAAAAACTAAAGAGATTAAAATTTGCATGTGCCACAATTAGTGGTTCCCTGGACTAGTGCAATTAGTGATTCTTTTTGCAGTTCCAGGATTATAGCAATTGAAATCTACCATCAAGTGTCATAATAAGCAGAAACCACATGAATAAGAAAATAGAAGCAAATCACAGTAAGGAAAACATGGAAGGAAATTATGGGAAGGAAATCTGCGCCTAGAGAAATCTTAAAATCTCATAGAACAAGAATTCCTAAAAAGCTGAAATCAGGAATGTATATGAAGTTGATTAAATTGGTACCTTGCAATACTTAACCAAACCTAATGCAAAAAATTTAAATTTAGGAGAACACAATTTATTTTCAATTGGAACGCAATTTATTCTCAATTTATTCACAATTTATTATCAATTTGTTAAGTGTTGCTGAAATGAGAATGATTAGGAGGATGAGTGGCTTTACACATAGAGACAAAATGAGAAATGAATATATCCGTGATAGGGTTGGTGTAGCTCCAGTGACGGACAAGATTAGAGAGAGTCGTCTTAGATGGTTTGGTCACATTTGACGTCGACCATCTGATAATCCGATTAGGGGAGTAGATGTTTTAGATTCGACTTATGTTAAGAAAGGCAGAGGTAGACCTAGGAAGACTTGGGCTCATTGTATAAAAAAATGATCTTAATTTATTAGAACTAAATAAAAATATGACACTAAATAAGATTCAATAGAGAAAAAGGATTCATGTAGCCGACCCCACGTAGTGGGATTAAGGCTTTGTTGTTGTTGTTGTTGTTTTTGTTGGATCAACGTCACATGCATGCTTTAACATAAACTGAAAACTCATATATTTAGCTCATACCATACCTAAAATAGCTTTTGCTGTTAGTTTGAAAGTCAGTTCAAGCATGCTCCTTGCAAAGTTCACGTTATTACTAGAATTCTTAAGTATCTAATAGGAAGCCACAATAAGGGGCTCTTCTTTCGTTAAGTAAAGAAAAACTATAATTATAGAAGCTTCTACTAAAGCTGGTTGGGCTTAGCCTATAATTGATAGAAGATCTACTTTTGAATAGTATACATATGTGTGGAGTAATCTTGTAACATGGATAAGCAAAAAATAAAATGTGGTGACAAGAAGCAGGGCAGAAACATGACTCAAATCATTAGCCAATGAGATCAGCGAATTAATCTGATTTTCAACAATTGGAGGTAGGGATACTGGTCGGCCATTCAGAAACATAAATCTTTGGATGCTTGCATATGGTGAATTGATAAGCGTGCAGCAGAAGCAAAGGGGGCTCCCTTGGATCACTTGTCATATGGCTTTTTCTTTGTCACACATGTCGTCCTATGACTCGCAGGTCGAGCAGATTTCATGGACACCTTTTATATATCTTCCAAGCTATTTTGTCTTCCATTGTTAGTTGGTTTTTAAATGAAACTGCTGTTATTTTGATTATTTTCTTTTATGTTTATTTCTTTTTGGTTTCAATCACTGTAAGCTGTGAACAAATCTATTTCCTCTTCGGCACTGACATTTTCTTAATTGCAATCCACTCTGCATTTAAAATTTGTACTTTTGCTTGGTTCCATGACACGGGATGTCCCTTCAGGAATGGAGTCAGTGCAAGTGATTGGAGAGGATAATGAACTTTTTTGTGCTGTTTGTATATATATATATATATATA